CAGGCGTGCTTCAGGGCCAACGGCATCACCGGCCGCCGCCTCATCCTCGCGAACTGCTCCAGCCTGCCCGCCATGGGCGTCACGGACTTCGGCCACATGCAGGTGCAGCCGGCTGCGCGTCCCGGAGCTTCCTCGGCCCCTCGGAGCTCAGCTCTGACCCTTTCTGCTTGCAAGCAAGCTGGGCTATAGCCTGTCCTCCAGGCAGATTGCTTATTCAAAGAGTGAGCCTGAAACTGGATAACCAAATTTGCTCAGCCGAGCAGTTGTATTTCTTGAGTCTTTTCAGGTGTAAATCCTTAGCTGGCTGGAGATCACAGGCTTCCTCTCTGGGGCAGCATGAGGGCATCAGAAGTGCTTAGCCTTTCTTTAAGCCTACGTTGCTCCTGTTGCCTCATGAAGTTGCTTAGCAAGATGCATGTATCTTAGATACCCTTCGGAATTTCTTTTCAGTAATTTTCCACTTACTGATTTGTAGAACTTCTAAAAGTCTAGTCAGATTTGACCTGCAACAATTGAGCCAGCAGTCTCAAGCAGCAGAAGGGTAACTCATTATTACTTCCTTGTTTTACACTTTGCTGAATACAAGCAGCATCTCTGTCTCTTCCTCATTTTATAAACATGTAATTATCTGGTCATTTTCCTTTCAAACCTACATCTTTTCTTTAACAAATAGTGATAGTTAAGCTAACTAGACTGAAGTTTGGGGCTACAGTTTGGCCTTCCAAAGCTTCCTGAAGGTTCAGAAAATAAGCAAGTTGACTTAAATTTCAGTACCCTCCTTCCCCTCCCTGATGGAAACCACAGAGGGACTCGGGACCGCATTTACAGAGACAAATCATTTGTTTCGCATCGTAATCTAAAGTTGCTTTCCCCAGAGGACACAGAAGTTCAAATAACCAGGAAGAGAGAAAAATCTTTATGCTCCAATGACTAAAGTATGAACGCTGTTTGTTTTATTCTAGAGCACCAAAAAGCAATTTCACCACAGTTCTGTACGGCGGCACAATCTTAACTGTTTGTTTGAAACAAAATATGCCACCAAAAACATTGACTAGTGCCATGACTTTGCCTGTTGGTTGGAGGAGAAGGCATGAAATTACAATGCTTAGTTTTTCAGACAGCAGCCCTTCAAGAGTATTTCTAGTACAAGCAGATACAAGCCTTTATAGTAATTTGCATTTACCAAAGATAGCAAGAATTTTGTAGGCTTTGTAAGCCTCGCCCTCACATTGGGATATAGGGATTATGTATGGTGGTAGTTTAACTGCTGAGAAACACTAAGCCATATGTTAGAGGTGTCAGCTGTATCCCATTCTTCCTCCTGTAGAAACTGAAATTCCTCAGGGCTAGGACAAGCAATACCCAGCATACTGCAGCAAGCTTGGAAATGAGGCTGTCTCTGTAATGTTTTCCAAAGGTTGCTAGTGAATTGGGAACATCTCACAGGCTTCAGTGGAATGTAAATGTTCTTGAAGATCATGCCCTATCCTGCTAGTTATCTGTGGTTTAGAGAACTTTACTCTGATAGAATCCAGGTGTGCAGAGCTCTGAGCAGGATGCGGCCCGTCGGGTCTTTCAGGAGGTGTGTACTAGAGCAGGTGCAAAGTTAAGGCCATAATCCTGGGCACATCAGCTTCCCAACAATAAATATCAGTGAAAGGCTGTGAACAGTAGAAACCAAGATAGTTACTATAGAAATAAATGTGATAGCATCAGCTCAGCAAGATAGAAACTTTTTGCAATTTAGAGGAAATGGTAGTTTGGTAGAAAACTACACAGTGAATTATGTGGAAGCTAGGCAGCATGGACAAGTGAAGTTACTACTGGTTTTAATTCCACTCTGCTGGTATTTTAAATATCAAAACCACTGAAGATACTAGTCCAGTGTTCTTTTGATATCACACAAAGCAGGGTACTGCTCTTCAGAGTCAAGCCAAAGTTAGGGGAAGGTTTTGAGCAGATGCTGTGAAGTATCAGCAAAACCTTGTGAATTGCATTTCAAAGCTTCAGTCAAATTAGAAGGTTACATTCTCAGAAGTGACTTCAAAAATAATGGCAAGGCTCTGTTCACTGACAGTTCCAGGTCCAGCTCGCTCAGATAGCCAATCTCCCATCATTTTCTTAATGAGCAATATGGTTTACTGGTTTAATTAGTTTTTACACCTCTTCTGTGTATAGACTGTTGTTGCAAATATAACTTAGCAAACAGCAACATTTCTGCATTAGGCAGAATAGACTCCAGCTCATTCACCCGTAACTTGTTTGTTCTGCAATTGCAAAGAGGAAGGCAGAGCTATTTGTGCCACTGAGACACCAGATGTGATGCCATCTCCCACAGTAAATCTGGAGAATGAGCAGTCTGCTCTGCTTTTACAATGTCACACAGGGCTCATGGGTTCAGATCCCTCTCAATTTGCAACTTCAAGCATGAAACTGTTCCAAAATTCAGTTCTTTTTCCTGCTGCTCTGACACAGAATGAATGTTATTAGCCATTGCCCTGCGAAATGAGAATTTTTTTGTATTTTGAATTTCAGGAGATTTCACAACACGTGCGAGAGTTGCTGGGGACTGAGGAGCCTCTCTTCAACAGATCCATTGCCCTCCCATACAGAGACAACATGGGTCTCTTCCTGGAGCGAAAGTCCCGATCAGGAAAGAAAGCAGATGCCCTCACTTTCTCACAGTTCATCCAAGAAGCAGGACTGGAGCCCTATACTGTAGTTCCTCCTTTGCAACAAGCCCAGGCCAGGGTAGAAGCAGATGCCCTTCCTGTATCACAGGGCACCCAGGGGCAGGATTAGGGACTCACACTGCACTTCCACATTTGTAAGAAGCCCAGAAGGGACAGCAGAATATACCCTTATTACTTTGCAGTTTGTCCAAGGAGGTACAGTTCCAGTTTCTCCCGGTTACAGAAAAGGCCACTGCAGCTCTTAGCCATTTGATGACAGCAAACACATCCCCACATTGGCTCTTTTCTGCAATCCTTTGTTTACTTCCAGGAATTAAGTGAAGCGGAAGCTATAAACCAGACTGTACCACTGTCTATCTTAAACTTCTGCCTCACAGTTGATTCAAAAGACCAAAAACCAATCATAGGCATATTTTAATTACCAATGGTTGATAACAACTTCCTGGCAGCTCAAATTAATAGATTTCTCTCAGGCCCTAGTGTCTGCAGACTGGGCTCACTGTAAAGCCCAGATGAAATATAAATGGCATATACAATAACTAGTATACGGGCATGGTGCTGGCTGCTGTTGGTGTTTGTAATTAAGCGAGGGGCCTAGTTACAACATGGACAACTAAGCCCTGGCCTCACCGCAGAAATTATTTCCTGTGAGTCAAAACCAGGCAATGGTTTATCATAGTAAACAGTACTGAAATGCATGATAGATAATGCCAGAATGTATAAGAGAATACTGTAAGCTGAACTAGAGAATTTAGGGAATAAAAAATGCTTTGTCCTGGGTGGATTTGGACAGAATACCCAATTACTTCCTTTTTCCTTAAAAGAAGTATCACATAGTCTGTGGTGATGGTGGTGGGGTGCATTATCATCAGCAAGGAAGTATGAATAAGTGCTGATTAAAGCCTGGCTCAATAGAAAGAGTACTCCTGACTAAATCATTACTATTTTGTCTGGCATCAATGACTTCCGAGATTCCCCCATAGAAAAAAAAAAAGGGGGGGGGCTCAATTCTGTGTAATTATTTACACCAAAGCTGTAGCCACTACAAAATAACTTAATTTGATTTTGTAATTCAGTTTTCTATTGAAACTGCAACAGAAACCCAGTGAAACTGAAGCAGTTCATAGGCCAAGATGACTGTGTAATAAGCAAATTCAGACCAAAATAAAGCAAGACTCAGGCAGCCAGGGAGAAGCAAGTTTGCTGAGCAGTCTAGAGACTGAAACTTGTAGAAGCAAATGTGTACATAGGGTTATTGGCTGGAATATTTTCAAGAGTCCAAGAGCAAACAGTGCTGGTTCTTGCACCCCTTAGTCCTGTGAGGGGGCTGGGATGAGATATCAGCAAAGCATTCTGCCACGGGCTTTGTTATAGTTTATGAGGATTTAGAAACATAGTCAGCAGTTTCCGCGGGAATTTCTGAGAAAATGTTGGAAGCAGCTGTGGAGAATGGCGACTTGTCATCCAATGTCACACCAGGCTCAACTACAGCTGAAGTAAGAGCTGCCTTGGTGCTGATCAGCCCCCATTCCTTTGTAGGCCAGTCTCCAAAGGATGCCCAGTATAACACAGCAAAATGGCATCAGACAAGCTCACTCTTTTCTAGCAGCTGGCTAAAGGGAAACTCTCTCAGTTATGCAGCTGTAAGGTCAAACCAGGGGAAGGTTCTGGGAAGAGAAAACAAGTGTAAACATTTATGGGCAATGACAGTCCAAAGCTTGCTGATAGTTTAACAAATAATGTTTTTCTTCAACATCGGACTACAAGTCTCTTTCTTGGGTCTTTGAGAAACAATCAGACTCAGAGACTTGAGTCTAAAGTGTTCCAGGCATTACTCTGCCATGTGCAGCAAAACTGAGTCTAGTGGCTCTAGAACAATCCTGCACAGGTCCTTTCCCTCAAGCAGCACTCCCCTGACTTAACATCCTCAAAGCTGCGTCCATGAACTACCATAAGTTCATTACCCATAAGAGCTGTCCTGTCTAGATATTCCCATAGGAATCTTTTTTTTTTTCCTGCATCCAATGCCCCAGTGCTGATCAGTGGCTTCAAACAACCCTGATAAGTAGCCAAACAGAAACGAGGGACAAAATAACTCCGGGATGATAGTCCAGGTCTTCTATTGCTAGTACATCACCTAAGGCAATCTTCCCTGGCAGGTGTGTGGTCCTAAGGGCAACACACAGTTCAGCAGCTTCCAACCCAGTGAGACAGTCCACACTTCAGTTGTGGGATGAGCCAAGTTTCAGAGTGAAGAGGAAGCCTGGACAAGCAGTATGTCAGCATTCAGCCCTTTACTTACTCTTCTTGTGTCACTGAAGTGGCAAAACTTCTGCTGTCAAAACTCTTGCACACAGATCATGGGCAGGAAGTTTTCTGCTCTGCACAGGTGGGGCAGCATTCAGGAAAACAGAGGTCATCATTGAGTAATTTCAGTGCCTTCTGGTGAGGCGGGCTCTGCCATGTGCTGCTCTTCAGGGTTCTGTAGGAAATGGCCACCAGCCATTCAGCATTGACTCTTATTTTCTCTGCAGGACAAACAACATCAAATGTCAATTATCAGTGTGCACACAGGTGTGAAGAGATATTCTTGTCTCCCACGCCTGTGAAGAATTGTATTGGCAATCAATCAGAGCTGGTTTATTTGAAACCTCTGATCTAGAATAATTTTAGGTGAGGGATGCCAAAATTAATAGTAACAAATCTAGTATAGCTTGTATTTTCTGTAGCTCATTCTCATTGTGTAAACAGGAGTCCTTTACAGGCTGCATATAAAGTCGTATAACCCTTCAGCCATCATGGCATGATGAGCACTGTACCTGCTTTAAGAGCATTCAGAAACGCAAGAATTAGAAGTGCATGCAGAAGCGTATAATGAAATTGTGATGGACAGAGGTAGGAGCTGGCCATAGGAACAGCACATCCATGGAACAGAAGTTATGCCTGAGGGAAGAGAGAAAGATTTGGGACCATGTTCTTGCTCACAAAGTGTATCTCGGCTCCTGCTCACTAATTTAGCCTCAGAGCTATGATTGTTCCATGAGGGGAAATGGTAGCTCTTTAGAAGCTGGTGGCAGGTACATGGAAAGCAGTGCTCCTGAAAGAAAAGGTGACTCCTGCGGTGCTAATCAGAGAAACCGGTCAAGGAGACACATACGGCCTCATTTTGCCCATCCACTTCTCCTGGAGGACTATGCCCTTCCGTCCACGCTATTTCCACTCCAGCTTTAGCTGCACAGTGGCAGGATTTCTCGGGGAGGGGGGGTTTCTTCCCCACCCTGCGCTCCTGATGAATGAAATGATCACCAGCCCAGACCCTGCCTCGAATCGTACAGGCAGGGGAAGCACCGAGGACGACTCCTCAGAAGAACTGCTACCAATTTTAAGCGACAAGAGAGCTTTTATGTCGGGAACTGCAGGGGCAGTTGCCTGCGCAGCAGCAGGGTCCCGCAGGGGCTGTCCCCGTCGTCCCCCGCTCACCGGGAGCCTCCCGGCCGGGGCCCCGGTACCGCGGCCTCACGACGGCACTGTAGGAGCGGAGTGCTTCGACCCGAAGGGGGAGGCGGCCGGAATGAGGGGAGGGGGAGAGGGGGAGAGGGGGAGAGGATTCTCCCGGAGAGCCCGGGCTGCGCTGCGGCGGAGCAAGTGTCCGCAGACGGCGGGGGGCTGCGGTTTTCAGGTCCTGCGTGAGGGAAACTCGGAGGAAGCCAAAGGGAATATCCCACTGCACCATCCGTGGCTGAGTCGACAGTTGCTGGGATGCATCCCGTTAACATTTCTTATAGCCAATAGCCTTTCCAATAGACATCTTAACCAGCTGGAAAGGTTCTTCCTATTTGATGGACCCTCATTGCCTAGTGTTAATGCATGGGCCTTAACACCGCCAATGGAGAATGGCCGCAGTAGGATGGTTAATTTTGCCATTTAGTGGTCTGTTTAAAAAAAAAAAAAAAAGGTTGTGTGTGTAAAAATCATCCCTTGCGCTTACTCCCCCAGTGCACGTAAGTCATACCACAACCACAGCAGCATAGGAATGCATCAAGGTCCAGGCCCTCCCCACTGCAGGCACATTCCCTCAAGCAAGGTCTTCCCTATCTTTTCCTCTCCTCTCCCCTCTCCAGCTGGATCCCCACTACTTGTTTGCCCTCCCTCAGCCCTGCAATCAACAGCCAGCATCACCCAAGTTTAGCTGATGGGGGAGAAACTAGGTTTAGCTGGTAAGGAGGAGGAAGCAGTTATCCTTTGCAGGATCTGCAGACCTTTAACTAGTAAACAGCCTCGCCCATAGCACGAAGAGCAGCGTCACGCTTGGCCCCTCTCTGGTCACCTCAGCAGAAGGCCAGCACTGGCCCAACTGCAGGGGCTGGGCACCCCAGGAGCAGGGGGTACAGGTCATGCCTCTGCACTCAGAGCCCTCGGGAGAGCTATGGCAGCAGCTTAAAGTAAAACACCATGCACTGGGTTTGCTTTTTTGACGATGGAGACTGCAGGCTGCTTCTTTGCACCTTGTTTCCTGCACTATTTCACAACAGATTATCTTGCAGCGATAACCTGAGGCCCTGGCAGGAGCAGGGTTTCAATGCCAGCATTGTGTTTGATCAGGGCTCCCTTAACTCCTTCTGATCATGTTTTCAGGTTTACAGCCACAAAGTCTACCACTTCCTCTACACAAACAGAAAGCTGAAATGCTGAAGAGTTTCCGTGACTCCAGCAGCTGCAGACTTGGGGAAGTTACCAACCATGACAAGGTTTGCAATGACGTTTCACAATAAAATTGTGAGAGGCAATAAGACCTGTGCTCCTGCACAGCTCCACCTCGGCCAGAACATGCACACTTGCCCCGTGAGGTCTCAACTGACAGCAGCACATCAAGGTTCTGAAGTGATGTGGTCCATTTTACCTGAGGAGAGGGACAGTGGTGACAAGGCTGTACACAACGCAGGGTTTCTGGATGGCAGGTCAAACAATGGAGCAGATGGATGGCACGTGTGGTGGCAGGCAGCAGAGGAATGCAATGTCCACCTAGGCCACCAGCTGAGCGTTGTAAAAGCACACAAGCCCCTGCTTCTGGAGGTCTGCTGTGATAAGCAAGGAGAAAGGGACTCAAGAGCCCACAGCACCAGCACAGGTGATTGACCAGAACCTCCGGGCACTGGCAGCACGGTAACCTGTGCTCTGCCGCATGCAGGTGAAACCCAAACCACCGCTCCCAGGCTGGGACCGCTGGCTGCCTGCCCAAAGTGGCATGGAGGGACTCTGGCTGCTGCCCATCACCGTTCCTACATGGCTAAGGGCAGCAGCAGAGTGACACGGAGCAGGGAGCCTCTCTGCCAGGAATAAACATGTAGAGAGCTCAGCTGCCTGGCCCTAGTTCATGCAGGCTGATTTAAAGCCTTTAGCTGAAACAGCTGAGCCTTGGGATCTGGCTAGTTTTCAAGATCTATAAAAAGCCATTTAATAATCCCTACTTCCTCTCTGCCCTGAGATGATTAGAAAGAGGATTTTATTGTTCCAAGCATCTCCTGGGAGGACCGTTCTCTCTACTTGTCTTGTTTTATATAAGAGTTTACCGGGCAGTTGACAGTTTGTATGCCAACAGTTGCTGTAATGCTGCAGTATGATCTCTCCTGGCTGGGTGTTCAGAGCCTAGCAAGAAGCTTGTCTGCTACAACTGACCCTGCAGCCATGGAACAAGGAGAGGGATGTCTCCATTTCAGCGCTACCACTCGTTTGGAGAGGTGTTTTCTCTGTTGGGTGAATATTTAACAGCCTGGAGTCTCTGACCAGGCTCTTGGCAAATGACATTGGAGAGGCAGTGTAAGACCCCAGCACTTCCCAGGGTTTCTCCTTGCTGACACAGGACCTAGAAAAGTGGCTGGTCTCCACATGCAATGCAGCCACCGAGAACAAGATGCATCAGTGGACATCTGAACCCATGCTTTCTTTGACACTACATTTCTCTATTACACAAGTCCCAGCTGGACTTTAAAGCCCAGCCACTTGCAAGCTGCTGGCATAGCGCTTGGGACAGACTTCATTAGAGCTGCTCCTGGGCTAGAAGCAATGAGAAATTAAAATCTTCAGCAAGTGGTTCAGTTTTCCAGTTCAAAGCTATTTTTTTATTTGCCCTCAGCTTTCCTAAGCTAATATTGTACCTCGTGCACTCCCCAGATGAGCAGTCTCTCAGCTCCTTCTCCCTGCACATATTTGCATAATAAGTCCAGGTGTCACGGCACAGCCAGCTCAGCAGCATCCAGGTGTAGGAACCCTTGCCCAGGACCTGCTTGAAGAGAGCTGCAGGGATGCTTTCGGGGGTATAAGGCAATCATCACAACAACAGAGTGACTATGACTAGCCCTAAAAGCGCTGAAAACCAGAGCAGCTGATTTCCTCCTTTGCTAAGGAGATGGTGTTTCAGCCAGCAAAAGTGCTGGGGGTTTAGAGGTGGCTGGAGCAGTGCCTCTCAGACCTGCCTGCTTCAGCAGAGGACAGCTTGGTACACCATTTAGCCTGATGTGAGGCAAACATGCAGTGCTCTTGGCCAGCACAGAACTCTGCCGAGCCATCTGAATTACTTGTGTGCCCTGATGGAACTTGGAGCATGCTTCACTGTATCACAAACCTGCGCTGGAGATGGAGAGAGGCAAAAGCTGTCCCATTCCCTAAGGCTCTCCGCAGCTGATTCAACTCAGGCATGACTCCCACAGGATGAGAGGCACCAATTGGGCTGAAACACCTTCAGCCAAGCTCATCAGGGAAAAAAATGACCCCATGCCCCATTGCAAGCGAGTGGAATACTGTCTTGCACTGTTCACCACTCGCAGCCCACTGGTGCCCATGGCACCATAGTTGGTGCAACAAACAAGGGTGGGCTGAACAAGGTCCCCAGGTTTCCACCTGCTCAGGTTCTGTCCTGGTTCATGTCCCCCAGTGTTGTGACAGGCATCAACCAGACCTACCTGCGCAGGCAGCGAGCCCAGGCCCCTGGGGACACCCAGCCAGCCCAGCCTGGGCACTGCTGCCACAGCAAGCGCCAGGCTACCAGAGAATTGCACACTTTCACCCGGGGAAGCTGGGAGAGTGGGCTTTTCCAGAGCCACCGCAACAACCCCTGGAGCACAGAAGAAAGCAGAAATCAGTCATGGGGGAGGATCACCTTCACTGCAGCAGTCTCTGTTTTTTTCTGCTGGGTACAGCTGTGCCACCCTGAGAGCTAGCAGCTAGGTTAGCATGAAAAAACTAAGGCACGGGTTGAACATGTCTCTATGCCAGCTCCTGCCCACATGTGTTCATGGGGAAAAGGTGCTCTCAACCAGAATAAGGTTGGTCTCTCCAGTGGAGGCAGATGGGTTGAATTTCCAAAGGAAGCAAAAAAAAAAAAAATAGGCATTTTGCTATGTTCATGCAAATTCTGTCCACGATCTACTTCATCAGCTGGACTGTGCTGCCTAAAAGCAAATACATGCCAAGAGCATACAGGGCCTAGGACAGGTGTTAAACAGGAAACCTGTGTCCCACTGAGGCTGTCCCAAAATCATCTGCATCAGCTGGGCAGTGTGTGCCACGTTGCTAAAAAAAAATGCAGCAAAACTACCACTTCTACAGTAATTTTAAGTTTCCTACTTACATAAACCCCACCCTCCCCAGCCACAGGACACATTTCACTGGAAATCCTCTTCTTCCTGCCCACACAGAGTAGTCATGGGCAGCCTGTGAGCTGCGGCCTCAGAGTAACCGAGGAATAACACTTGGGGCTCCCAAATGCTGCCTTATAGACAAATGTTCCCTGATGCACCATGCACAATACGTCAGACACTCACACCAGCCATGGTATCCTGGTGCTCTGGAAGGTGCTCACAAAGCTGGTATCCAGCTTCTAGTTTTGGGGCATGATGAAGAACTGAATCACTAACCCCATCCCCTGTGGCACATCAGCATTTTCTGTTACAAGTGGTCTTGCTTTGCTTGGTACATTCGCAGTGCCAATACCCACAGGTCAGAAGCACTGCATGCTGCAAACTCCACACCGAGGTTGGGGATCCGTAGGCATAGCCAGATCACAGCTCCCCTGCTGCTGGACTTAGACATCTCCTTACACATCTGTATCGTTGGTCATACCACAAGAGGGGCATCCAGGACCCATGCTTGGAGAAGACAGGCATAAAGGTTTATTTTATGGCTTCATCAGGTTCCTCCAAGGGTACGTTCAGCTTCTCCCGTTGCTCCCCTCCATCAATCCCAACCAGTGACACCATTCCAGCTCCTACAACCAAGAAATGTCCTGGCCTGGGGCATATGGGATAGCCTGGCAGCAAACCTTACCCTAGCCGGCAGCACCCTGGTTTGCCTCAGGATGCATGTTGCCAGCAGGTTAAGGTGATCCTTCCTCTCTAAATCCAGAGTGCCGTGTCCAGTTCTGGGCTCCTCAGCACAAAAGAGACATAGCCATGCTGGAGAGTCCAGCAAAGGGCCACTAAGATGACTAACGGACTGGAGCATCTCTCATATGAGCAGAGGCTGAGAGCTAGGACTGTTCAATATGGAAAAGGCTCAGGGGGGATCTTAGCAATGTGTGGAAGTATCTGATGAGAGGGAATGAAGAGGGACCCAGACTTTTTTCAGTGGTGCCCTGTGACAAGAAGAGATAGTGGGCACAAACTGAAATATGAGTCCATCTGAAGACAAGAAAACACCTTTTTACTGTGAGGGTGATCAAATTCAGGAACAGGTTGCCCAGAGAAGCTGAGTCATGTCCAGCTATGAAGATACTGAAAACCCACATAGACACAGTCCTGGTCTGCCTGTCCCAGGTGACCCTGCTTTAGCAGGATTGGAATATATGATCAAGAGGTCCCTTCCAACCTAAACGATTCTGTGAGAATAAAAATCAAACATCAACAGAAAAAAGGGAGGGAGGCTGGAACCCAAACCTGCCCTCAGACTGGTACATTGCCACATATAACCTTCACCTTTGCATGACCACCCCTGTGGCAGCAAACTGTCCTACAACCTTAAAATCCATTCATCTCTGCTGATGGCACTGAAGGTGTGAAATAAAGTACTGCTGCAAGCAAAGCTACTCCATGGTGACACGCACTGTGCTTTTCAGGACATGAGAAAACACCCTGCATACTCACTTCGTAGGTGTGATAAATTGCTCAGGATTAGCACACAGAGTGACAAAGTGCTCAGTGTGGGAAGGAAATAAACAGCCCAAGGAGAAAGAGACAGCTTTATTTAAGGAATTGAAGTGAGGTCTGGAAGGATGAAGCCAGCAGTCGCCTGAGGAGTTGTGTTTCTGAGAAAGTGCAATTCAATCCTTCCTGGCATAACACAGAAAAGAGCTGCTAGGGCCAGCAGGTTTGTGCCAACTGAGAGGGGTCCCTCCTTGCTCTCCATCCAACCCAGCAGGGCTCTGACCAGCTCCACACTAGGTGCCTGTTCTTCCCTGATAAAGGGATCTTCCAAGAGCTGCAGAATGCCAGCACAAGGATACTGGCAGAGGCTACTGTCCTGGCTCTCTGCAGGAGTTCATACAACACCACTTCCTAGGGTAAGCCAGAATAAACCAACAAAACAAAACAAAAAAGAGCTTTAAGGTGCAGCTGGTCCTTTCCTCCAACGCACTCTGATGCGGAGAGAACATAGCCCAGTAGGCTTTGCTCCAGCGTCAGCCATCACTGGTGATGCCCAGACCAGCTTGAGTGTTACAGGGACTGGTCAGCACCGTCTGGTGGAGAGACCCACAAGTGTGACTGACCTGTTCCTCTTGTGAGAATAAGCCCAGGCACCACCCAGCGGAAATGTAACCTTGCTGTGCCCAGCAACTTCCCTCTGTAAACAAAAGCGATGCCTGGCTTACAGTCAAGTCAAAGAGAATCAGATTCCAAAAAGAATCAACCCTGGTGGATCAGTACCATGGTTTCGCTGGCTACATTGGAGTAGCTGCCTTCAACCAGCCTGAATGCCACTGTCCCACAAGCCACGGGCACCCACTGTCACTGACGAACGTTGATCATGAAGTTAGTAGTACCAGAGTTGCTCTGTTGGCACTGGACTGTGTTTTGCAGTTTCCTCTTTCACTGGCAAGGCAACGGCCAAGCAGGCTGCTTCACAGGTGCTCAGTTCTTCCATCGGATTTGCTGAAAGAGAGAATGAGACATGACTAACATCAGTGCTGAACACAGATCCCTCAGGGGCCAAGTTAGCGAGTCCCAATCCCTGACAAGGACAACTATGGCCAGAGGGTGCTGTTTCTATCAGTTTCACCCTTCATTCCTCCAGTGAATGCAACTCCAAACATAAGCTTAGCTTCCCAGCAGGGGTAAAAAGTATGTAGGACAGCCATGACCTTACACCTAATCTATGGCCATTTCTGATGAGAGTCTCTGGAAAAAAAAGTAGGCGTTTCTTACCATGTTGTTGAGAATGCTGTTTATCTTCTCTTCTTCTGCAGAGCCTCGTTCCACCTTGCATTTATATGCTGTCAGCTGGATGCGATCCTTTAGATCCCTGTACGTCTAGATAAACAGCAAAACCAGCACCCAGCTGAGTGAAGAGGACACTTCCTCAGTTAGGTGGTACCCTGCAGATGAGCAAGGCAACTCTCCAATCCCCCCTCAGTTTCCCACCACAGCACAAACGCTAAGAGCCACTCTCCTGGCTCACTTGGCTTCTGCTGGGAACCATATCACTGCTCCCAGGCCACAGGGACAGAAAAACCCCACCAGGCACATGACAGCAGTTGCACATGGCAGAGCATGGGAAAGCTAGGGAGAAAAAGCAGGCTCTTGTCTCATCTCTTCACACACACAGCAGAGACATACCTCAATGACAACATCATGGCACTTGTATTTGGTGGCAAGGTTCAACCGTGTCTCCACATCCTCCACCAGGCGCACATACTCCTGCAGCACCTGCAAGGGAAGGAAGAGTGTCTCAGCTTCCTTCTGCAGGTACCTCCTGCCTCGTTCTCTCACCCCAGTCACAAAACCTTTCACGGTCGCTGGTCACACAGACTTGGCCCCTTGCTTCCTAAGGCAACAAGTGACGAGGACAACATGGCTCAGGACCCCAGAGGCAATAAAGTTTTGCTCACAAAGCTCAGAGTCCCAGGCTACCTCATTCCTATGGATCGGGTTAACCATTGCCAACCAGATTAAGCGTAACAAAAGTTAAGGTAGCAAACAAAGGTGGCAATGCACTGTGGGGAGAGAGCTCCCAGACAACACTAGGGCTGCCGTCCCTCTTGCAGTCCGTCCCAGCCCTCACTACCACTTTTTCTGATGCATGGGTCGCTCAGCTGAGTGCTGCACCAACCTAGCAGAGCCAGCAGCTCGGCAAGCTGTTCTCTCACTCCCAGCTGGGAAGCAGCTCACTTGGGGAATTATTTACACACCAAATCCCAATAAAGAGCAGGAGGACAGAAGCAGTTGTTCCTTGCTCACCTGCACAGGAGCATTGTTCCTCTGCAAGATCTCCACCACCCGGTGGAAGCCAATAGGTGCCTTCTTCTTGGTGTAGCCCAGCCAGTTCTGAAATGAGAGCCAAACCCTATGACAATCCTAAAGGGCAATCCCTCCAGCCACAAGAAAAATTTTTTCCCCAGTGCCACCACATGCACCACTGGCAGAGCCCCTCATGCAGTGGCTGGGCACAGGTTGGCTGGGAACCCTTTGGTAACAGAGCACAAAAGCAGCCCCCTTCCCTGACCTTGTTGCTGCAGCCAAGCCAGGCCCAGCTTAGGTAGGGAGAGGATGAATGTATTGCAACACCCTGCAGCAGAGGTGCTGGGCCCTGCTGAAATAAAACCAGTCTGTCTGGTAACTCCAGAACAAGCCAGCTATCAGTAGTAGATATTAGCACTTGGAACTGAGACCCCGGCAAGGCTTTCCGCAGCTCACCTTGGTGGTGAAGAGGGCATCCACATCATCCCAGGCTCGAAGCTTGGCACGGGCAGCCAGGGCAGTTAGCACATACTGCTTGTCAGGAATCTGCAAGGCAGAAAGCTGCAGTCAGAGCACGAGCACAGCTCAGGAGGACTGTGTGGGTTGGACAGGAATGGCATCTGCTCCCAGCCCTGTCAGGACCCACACCAACAGCCAGGCAAGGAGGTGGGATGCTGCCTGAGGCCAGGACCAGCACTGCAGAGAGCAGGGCAGGAGGTACGGATTTGCAAGTGCTTCTGCAGCCAGGGTGCACCCACTGAAAGCCTCCACATGGCTTCCACTTGCCTTTCTCAGCCTCCAGAACGGCCCTGCTCAAGGAGGATGCCGTGCCCACCTCCATCTCAGTGCTAAGCCCCTCAAACTCCTCCTGCCCAGCCCTCTTGCTAAATACAGTTTGGCTATCCACATTTTCAGCTAGTGTTGCCACAACAGCAGGAGACTCACGTACCTTAAATGTTTTCTTCAGGTTGGTCGGGCTGCTGAATGTTCCCTACAGAGAGCAGACAGGTCAGTGCAAACTCAGCAGGGCAGACCGTGAGAGAGGTTCAGACACTGTTGTAAGGCATTTGCGTCACACAGGGTGAATGTCCCCAAGTTTTTACTGGATTTTGCTCATGGCAGTGCCACGGGAGGGAACAGCTGGCAGAAGACAGCAACTGTCCCACCCCATTAGCTCTCTGGTTTGGTTTCCCCTACATCCTCAACTGGTGCACCTCCAGCACTTCCAAGACCAGTATCGCACACCTGAGCCTCACGGGATTAAGGGCCAATTCTGGCTCCCTGGAGCCAGAAGTAAGAGACAGTGGTTTACAGGAGTCAACTCCCTAACAGGCTGAATGTCCCATCTTAGAGCACAAAAGAAAACTCCAAACTGGTCCCAGACTGACAAGGGGAGCTGGGTTCCTTTAGGTCTCTCTGAGGGATGAAATACGACCTCCCTCCCCTTCTTCCCTTAACATGCCCCAGCTTAACAACCCCACATATTGAGGGCTACAGGGATGAGATATAACCCTTCTCTTCTCCCACATCATCCTCACCTCAGCCTCTGTGTAGTGGTAGAAACAGGAATAGAAGAGGGTGGTCACTAGTGGCATGTTGAGAATTGAAGCTTTGCGAGGATATTTTCGAAATATCTCTGACTGCCCAACCGTCTCCAAGTGCCGATCATTGGCCTGTGGAAATAGGAAGACAGAGAGGATGAACATAAGCTAGGGCAATTGCCTGACCTAGCTGTGGGGTAGAGACCTGAGGACAGTGTTGTGATAGCAATGCACAAGCACAATCTTAACATGCCATGAAGTCTCAGGTCTGGTATTTCCCACATGTGCCCGGCACAGCAGCTTGGATAGCAGTTAAACTACACTAGCCAGGACAGGC